TTGGAGGAGACTGGGATGCAAGAAAGGGGAGCTCTGATGTGAAGGGGAGACAGAGGACACTGATGTGAAGGGGAAGGGGCTGTTATGTGAGATGGGGGCTGAGGACACTGATGTAAAAGGTGGAAATCTGTGATGTAAGAAGGGGGGGCTGTGATGTGAAGGGGCGAAACAGGACATTTACAGTATCTCTCAGAAGTGAGTTCACCCCTCACATTTTTTAAATATTTTATTGTATCTTTTCATGTGACAACACTGAAGAAATGACACTTTGCTACAATGTAAAGTAGTGAGTGTACAGCTTGTATAACAGTGTAAGTTTGCAGTCCCCTCAAAATAACTCAACACACAGCCATTAATGTCTAAACTGCTGGCAACAAAAGTGAGTACACCCCTAAGTGTTACAAGGACTCAGGTGTGAATGGAGAGCAGGTGTGTTAAATTTGGTGTTATCACTCTCACTCTCTAATACTGGTCACTGGAAGTTCAACATGGCACCTCATGGCAAAGAACTCTCTGAGGATCTGAAAAAAGAATTGTTGCTCTACATAAAGATGGCCTAGGCTATAAGAAGATTGCCAAGACCCTGAAACTCAGCTGCAGCACAGTGGCCAAGACCATACAGCGGTTTAACAGGACAGGTTCCACTTAGAACAGGCCTCGTCATGGTCGACCAAAGAAGTTGGGTGCACGTGCTCAGCGTCTTATCCAGAGGTGGTCTTTGGGAAATAGATGTATGAGTGCTGCCAGCATTGCTGCAGAGGTTGAAGGAGTGGGGAGTCAGCCTGTCAGTGTACAGACCATACACCACACACTGCATCAAATTAGTCTGCATGGCTGTCCTCTCAGAAGGAAGCCTCTTCTAAAGGTGATGCACAAGAAAGCCGGCAAACAGTTTGCTGAAGACAAGCAGGCTAAGGACATGGATTACTGGAGCCACGTCCTGTGGTCTGATGAGACCAAGATAAACTGGTTTGGTTCAGATGGTGTCAAGCGTGTGTGGCAGCAACCAGAGATCAGGCCTGATTCTGCTGACACTGCAGTTTTGTGTGCAATGTATCAAGTGACGGTGATCTACTTACACAGCACTTGTTGGGGGAGAAGGAGGGGGGTAAGAATCTGTACACTGTACTATCGACACTGGTGACAGGGTCATGGGGACCCTGGGACAAGGGGTTAACTGAGGGGCAATCAGCGTGTTAAATGTGGCCTAGCTGTGCTTTTACTGTAATTGTGTAGTGCTTTTGACTCACGTGGATCTGCTTTCTTCTCTTTCTGGGAAAGAATGTGCCCAGCTAGAGAAGATTGCATCATTTCCTGTGCCTGTGTTATGTAAACACAGGCACAGGAAGATCTGTGATAGGGAAGGGATCAATCAGCAGATCCAGGCTGAACATCAATGGCCTGAATCTGCTGATTGATCAGCGCAGCACCGAATCATGGCACTGCTCCGAGATCACAGCAAGAGCGCAGATCACGTATATATATAAGTGATTTTGTGCAGGGAGCCCGCCCTATAGCAGTAATTCTGCTATAGGGCGGAGCTAAAGCAGTTAAAAGTGATTTCTCAACAATATAAATTAGGGAAACATGCATGAATGGGTGAGTTTGCTTTGCATATTAAAAATGAATTACCGTATATACTCGAGTATAAGCCGAGTTTTTCAGCACATTTTTTGTGCTGAAAAACGGCCCCCTCGGCTTATACTCGAGTCAACGTCTGCCGATGACATGCCGTCCCTGTCATCTGGACACACCCCCGGGATCAATCCTCGCCGGTGATTGGCCACCGGAACTGTAGCTTAGGAGAGGCACACAGGCGCCCAATCACCGGCGAGGAGGTGGACCTTGGAGAGGAGGAGCCGAGCGGCACCGCGAAGATCGAGCGAGTGAAGAGGAGGAGAGCGGCCGGAGAAGGAAGACATCTGACCGGTAAGTGTGTACCATGGGAGAGGGAGGGAGCGAGCGATGGGGCACTATTGAGCCCTGATGAAGTCACGTGACATTGTGACGTAACGCGTCGGCGTAGCGCAGTGACGTATTTCCGGCGTGGCGGCCATCTTGGTACACCTGTGTGTTCAGCTGTACACCCAACAGATATATCCTCATCTGAAAGCATGAGGTTCTAATGTGGACTGGCTGCTACGTAAGTTCGTTTTTATAAGATATTACATGTTCCTATGGTATAATAAATATACTACACTATGGGAGGATTCCTTTGTCTCATTCTGAGAGATTGATATTTCAACTTTTCCTGGAGAAGAGCCTAAGTGGGAATATTATATCCTGAAAAGCGTTTTTGGAGTGCTTTGGTGCCTGGAGGATCTGTGAGAGGGATCCATTACTGCTCTTTGATCCGCAAGGGTCGAAGGGATGAGGTGAGAGGCTAATCCAGAAGGTGGTTGGATTCATAAGATCTATATACACCCAGATACCTGCACGATTTTTTTCACTCGTGGTCACTAACAGTATTATTTGGAAGCACCGTTTACTGTTTTGTTCACCTACAACATTCTATTTTTGGACTTTGAGTTTGCGTGTATCATTATTATGGTTATTTTTTCACTTCACAATATGCACGTGTGATTTAATTATATGTATGTGTATTCCTTTGTTCATGCACATACGTATATATACAGTTTTGTGTTTCTCATCTTTTGGGTGATTTATTTGATATTTTGATTATCAGCAAGCACGTATAGATTTATATTGTTATCATTATTGTCACATTTTTGATTTGAGATGTTGGATCCCACATTCACATAATTGTTTTGAATGTAGCGCAGCATTTTTATGTTTTATATTCACTTGATGGGGCACTATTCCTCCCCCCACTGACACCAACGATGGGGCACTATTCCTCCCCCCACTGACACCAACGATGGGGCACTATTCCTCCCCCCACTGACACCAACGATGGGGCACTATTCCTCCCCCCACTGACACCAACAATGGGGCACTATTCCTCCCCCCACTGACACCAACGATGGGGCACTATTCCTCCCCCCACTGACACCAACGATGGGGCACTATTCCTCCCCCCTCGGCTTATACTCGAGTCAATAGTTTTTCCCAGTTTTTTGTGGTAAAATTAGGTACCTCGGCTTATATTCGGGTCGGCTTATACTCGAGTATATACGGTAACTAGTGTTTTCAATTTGTGGTGTTAAGATGCAGTTTAGTTCCGCTTTAAGTTTTGCTGCAGAGTTTGTGGCACAGAGAAAAAGTGTGACTCCTGCAACTCCCTGTGTTATAAAGTCAGTCTTAAGCCCCAATGTAATTCTGCTTTTGCAGCCTAATTGGAATAACACCTACTTTATTGCTTACATATTCCCTATAACTAAAAAATATTTTAAATATGCTACTTATCTTTTTACTTGCTTAGAAATTCTACGCACTTTTCCACTTCTATGTAATGTTAAGCAAGGGGCTGTGGAGTTTGACATAAATAACCATGTCTGTTGAAACTAGACATACACATTGTCTTTCCTCACAAAGGATTAATGATATCCAAGAATGGGAGGTACATTGTTTGGTGCTTTAAAAAATAAAATCTTCGCTCTGCAAGTTAAGAGAATGATGTCCTAGTTTGCATTACATACTAGCACAGTATGAAAAACTCACCTTAACACTAAGCCCTCCAGCGCCTTTGTTGTTTTCCTGGCTTTGCGGGTTCTGACCATTTCAATGGCCGAGCCACAATGACGTCATTCCCACACATGTGCATGGGAGTCATGGCCACGGCATAGAGTTCTGAAGGGCCGGCATGTGTCCCTTTAGAGCGCAGTGTACATGCACCGGTGACATCACCGGCTGCAGAAGCAGTGAATATCTCCTAAATGGTGCACATTTAGGAGATATTTCTCGTACTTACAATTATGCTTTATTATAAGCTTTTTAGTGAGAAACTAAGCATCTTCTCTTTACATGCAAAAAAGTGATATATACTGCTTTACATGGTATATCTTCTATGCAATAAAATATAAATAATTACTCAACCATTTACTGTGCCAACAAAAATAAAAATAATAATACAAAACATGTTAGCTGCCACTTGGAGTGGAAAATCACTTGTGACCATATAATAAAATAAGGTATGGCGCTAAACATACATATTGAGTGAACAATATTTCAACTGTGATAGGCACATGTAAAAACCTGTAAAAAGTGATATATATTAACCACTTGCCCTGCTTTACCCCCCTTCCTGACCAGGCCATTTCTTGTGTTACGGCACTGCGTTACTTTAACTCACAATTGTGCGGTCATGCAACGCTGTACCCAAATAAAACTTACATCCTTTTTTCCCACGAATTGAGCTTTCTTTTGGTAGTATTTAATTGCCTGTGCGTTTTGTTTTTTATTGCGCTATAAAAAAAAAGACCTACAATTTTGATAAAAAAACAATCTTTTTGACTTTTTGCTATTAACCGCTTAAGGTCCACATTATAGCAGATATACTGCTACAGGGCGGCACCTGTGCGCAAAATCACGTGTATATATATATATATATATATATATATGTGATTTTGCATATCCGGGTAGGGGGGGCGCGCGCTTATAATGGCACTGGGCAGGAAGGGGTTAATGTGAGGGGCGATCAAAGGGTTAACTGTGTGCTGGGAGTGTTTTACTAGTGGGCAGGAGGTGTGTTCTTCACTGTAAGCACACTGATCGGGATGGCTGTACTGTACACAGCCATCCAGAGAAGTGTGCTCGAGCTGGCAGGGAGGAAGATTGTTTGTAAACAAAACAATCTTCCTCCCCGTCGGAGAAGCTTGGTAAAAAAAAAAAGGAGTACAATGTTACTATGGTAACATTATACTACTTTGGTCATAGTCATATGAAAAAAAAATCTTAAAAAAAAGAGAAAAAAAGTAATACAACATTAAAAATAATTAAAAACGTAAAATTTTTTTTTTTAAAATTATAATTTTTTTTTTTTGGTACTTCAGTGTCCCTGATCACTGCCATGCCAGTTATATGATGATGCTGTACTGCACTGGTGACAGTATGTAAAAAAAATTGTGAAAATCATTTTTTTTATTTCATTTTCTGAAAAATTATGACAAATAATTACAACTTCAAAAAACTTGCCATGCCTCTGACTGTCTACTTTGCAAAAAGGGGTCATTTGGGGGATATCTGTACTGTTCTGACATGCTTGGACTTCAAGAAATTAGATTGGCTGTCAGTACTTCAGGACTGATCAATATTCAGATCTATACCATAGTTTGTGAACTCTATAACTTTCCTACAAACTAAAAAATACATCCTAATTTGGGTTATTTTCACCAAAGACATGTAGCAGAATACATCTTGGCCTAAACTTATGAAGAACAATTATTTATTTGCAAACGTTTATAACAGAAACAAAGAAAAATGTGTTTTTTTTTTCAAAATTTTCTGTCTTTTTTTGTTAATTTAGCAAAAAATAAAAATCTCAGTGGTGATCAAATACCACCAAAAGAAAGCTCTAGTTGTGTGAAGAAAATGATAAAATGTTAGTTTGGGTACAATGTTGTATGACCGTGCAATTGTCATTCAAAATGTGACAGCACTGAAACCTGAAAATTGGTCTGGGCAGGAAGGGGGTGTAAGTGCCTGTACGGAAGAGGTTAAGTTGGGTCTGTCAACCCTTGTTTTTGTTGTGTCTGTTTCCAGAGCTCTGTTTGCATAATGTTGAGTGCTCTTTTCATTCATTGATTGGGGACATCCCAGGATCTTTGAATACTCAGTCTCTTCTGTACTGTAATATAAGAATAAGAGGAATTTTGACTTGCCTGTAAATTCCATATGTTGGAGTACAGTACAGGTCACAGGCCACCCTCTCTTCTAAACCATGGTTACTCTGCATTGCTTGCTACAAACCTGAGGATTCACAGCTTGGTGTAGGGCTATTAAGGAGATGACCGGGGGAATATACTCAAAAGCTTGCCAACGTCCAATCACCTGAAGGTGCGAGCCTATAACCCAGGATCTATGAATATTCAGCCTGCGTCCTGTACTGTACTATAAGATAGAAGAAAAAAATCTCAATGGTGATCACAAAGAATTAGTCAAATACAAGACAAATGTGAAAGTTTGCACATTAATTCGATTACCTCTAATAATATAATTGAATAAGAAAAATGTCACAGTTTGTAGAGTTCCTGAGCATGGGAATATAATGCTGAGTAGATAACATAGCACGTACTGTACGCACTTCTAGCCAGAGAATGATAAAAGAGCTAACATGTACTCTTACTTAGTTTGAATAAATATTTGACTAATGTTTGCTTTTATTGTGGATGGACTGAATCCAAAGCTAAAGCATGTCAGCTTGGTTAATGACTTACATACTAGGATGACCTCTAGTGGTAATTAGTTATTATTGCTCTTCAAACAGATGCAGAAACAAGAAAATATAATGTCGTTCTTGTCTTAATGGGGACAATATTAAAGTTCCTTCAAATTGCATGTACATTTATTTTAATACTCTGTTTAAAACAACATTGTTTGCTCTCCAGAACTAATCATTCCATAAACGTAATGTTCCACTCTTTCCAGCAGCACACAGCTTTCAAGGCAAATAAAACTTTTCTTTAGATGTTAGTGATTGCAGAGTACATTGTTTTATGTTTATATGTGAAAAAACGTTTGCACCAGATGCGTGCAAATTATACAAAATTAAATAAATGTAATACAAAACCTAAATAAAAACTGCTGCCACCTTGAGTGAAATAAATCATTTAAACAACAAATGAACCTTAAGTGATTCAGTGGCGCTGTTAAAAAACAAATTAATAAGTGACTAAGTAATGAAAGTCCACAAATTCATTCCAACGTGATAATTCTTCTATTTTTTTCCCAAAATCGGAATCACCACATGTTCAAGAAAAAGCGTTCCCCTTTCGGGTGTACACGCACCAAATTTCCATACCTCCCACTCTCATGGTCGGCATATATCGCTTTGAAAAACTCCAAGTGAAAAGGAAGTATGCCAGTAGCAGTATATCCACAATCCTCCTTACTTCTCTCTCCCAGAGACAATGGCCAGCAAAGAGTAAAAAGGTAAAAAGTCCAATGGTGCAGTACAAATAACACCTTTTATTAAATAAATGCAGACAGCCACTCACAGAATAACTGAAAAAAACATGCCTGTAGATAACCTGTAGATAATGCATAATAGTGTGATATGGTGGGTTACAAGCAGTGCTCTCACCACCGCAGATCCCAAACAATGGCGCTCTTGTGTCACTTCCGGTTCCAGTCCCAGACGTCACTTCCGTCCCTACATGTGCAGATATTGCTGCGTTCTGTAAAACTGTTAGTTTAGTTTTTTACATTTTGTAACCTGTGCCATAAGATTGCGCAGAAATTTAAAGGGTGCCTTGAGACTGCAGAATTATTAAAGGTGCCTCAAGATTGTGCAAAATTGTAAAAGTTGCCTCAAGATTGTGCAGAATTTTTAAGGGTGTCTCGAGACTTTGCAGAATTTTTAAGGGTGCCTCGAGACTTTGCAGAATTTTGAAGGGTGCCTCGAGACTTTGCAGAATTTTTAAGGGTGCCTTGACTGAAAAAAGGCTGAGAAACACTGCATCTGGTAATAATCTGTATATAATAATAAAACCATTATTGGAATAAGAAGAAAATAAGAGAATATAAGATGTGTTTTCCTAGCATCACAGATACTTTATTTTAATAAGTACAATTAGCATATCTCTCTTTTCTCATATTTTTAGTATCTGTTCATCATTCCTGAAAAAGTGGCCAAAAGAATCATGAATGTGTTAAAGATGTTTTAAAACGTTATGTGGGGAAACCAAAAAAAACCCAAACATGATAAAAATTAATTTTATCTCTACTTTTTTCCAGGTGACCACTCCAGTAACTAAGGGTATACAATTACCCAGCGTCCCAAATTGGGCTCTTCGAGCGGGGTGATCAGAGACCAGGTCCCAGTTCAGAAACTGCACCGTGGTAGTTCATTGAGGACTAAAAGCTGACAGCCACTAAGGCTAACAGGACTTGAAGTCGCTCATTCACTTTTTTTCAAATTTGACAGCTAGTGGGGGAAGACCCCGCTAGCTGTCAAAGTGGGGGCCGGTCTGATCATAACATGTTACACCCTGAATATGGGTGTAACGTAACATGGAATGAAAGGTGAATTTGACCTTTAAATCCCAGGGTATTTTCTTCCCAGGGGAAGTCTCAGTTCTACACATTATGCCTTTTAACATTTGTAGCTTGCCCTAATGTAGTATATATCGTTAGTTTCAGAATAGGGCTCTAGTTTGGCAGCCGATTTGTGTTTATTTTTTTAAAATTGTAAAAAAATAGAAAAAATTTTTTTTTTCCTGTAATGTTTCTCAATAACATTTATGCACCTTCAGACATTTACCTTAAAAAGGTTTGTCAATTAAAATTATAGCGCATAAGTGTGATTTCTATGTAACATAGCAGAATATACAGTATATACTGTACAGTGTATAAACTGTATTTGAAAATTGATCAGTCCTGATGTACTGGTCTTAAAATGCTAGAACAGTACATATACCCGCAGATGACCCTGTTTTGGAAAGTAGACAGTCCAAGATACTGTAATTATTAAGAGCCATGGCAAGTTCTTTGAAGTTGTTTTTTTTTGGCAGAAATATTTGGAAAAAAAAATTGAACAACATTTTTTTCACATTTTATTTTGGATACTATCATCAGTGCAGTACAGCATCATCATATGACTGGTGTGGCAGTGATCAGGGATAGTGACTAGTGACAGTATGGGGAAAAAAAGTTTTTATATAAATTTTTTAAAATATTTGTTTCCTTTTTTAACATTTTTTGTTTCCTTTATTTTTACTATTTTTTACAAACTTTCATCAAAGTAGTTCAGTGTCACCATAGTGACACTGTACTACTCTGGGACGTAATCAGGGATTTTTTTGTATACTGTTATTGCTTATAACAGTTACGTTCACTGTTATAAGCAAAAATTTTAGCTGCCATGAATGGGTTAACTTTCATGACAGCTTAGTTGCTGTTGACATGCTGTGATTGGCTATAGCTAATTAAATGGTGCAAGTAGCCAGGTACTATGTGATAGCTGTGGGATAATCACAGCATTACAACAGTAATGAAGCTGTCATGAATGGAAACCCATTCATGACAGTTTGCTTACATAAATATCATGTGATCGCTCTGATTGGTCATAGCAACCACAAAAGCTGCTGGGTACCGTTTGTGATCCACTGTATCCATAGGACACAGCGGTCATGGGACTGCACCACTGCATGCCCCAGGGGGGGGGGTGTCAGTGCGCATTTGCCGGGTGACGTACTAATATGTTGCCCAAACTGGCTGTGCCATCTGTCCACAGTAAAACTACTATGGGTGAGCAGCAAGTGGTTTAATGACCTTTGGCACAGAGAATATGGCGGTGTATCTGGACCATGTTCAGATATGGCTTCCTCTTTGCATGATAGAGCTTTAAGTTGCATTTTTGGATGGTATGGCACATTATTATCCGACAGAGATTTTTGGAAGTTTTCCTGAGCCATGCAGTGATGTCTGTCACAGAATCATGCCTGTTGTTAACAGCTTCCGTGCTGCCCTATAGCAGAAATACTGCTACAGGGCGGCACAGGTGCGCAAAATCACTTATATATACAGTGCGTACATGAATTTGTCATTCCGGGTAGGGGGTGACCGCCGGGTCCTGGCTGGTGATTTCACACAGGCACCTGGTGATCACCGAGTATCTCCGACGGGGGAGAGACCTGTGTATAAACAACACAGATCTGTCCCGTCTGCTATGCAGAGCCATACAAAGCAGTGTACCTACAAAGAAACACAGCACACACCCTCATAGTAAAACAGCATACAGTTAACCCTTTGATTTCCCAGATGTTAACCCCTTCCTGCTCAGTGCCATTAGTACAATGTCATAGCTTTTTATTAGCACTAATCACTGTATTGGTGTCACTGGGGATGTCAGTGACACCAAGTCAGTTCCCCCCAGTGTCAGAATGCCTAACGCAGTCCCACAGTCCCGCCGAAAAGTCGCTGATTGCCGCCATTACTAGTAAAAGAAAAATTTCCAGTATATATACCACCATTTGTAAACTCTTTAACTTTCACATAAACCAATTAATTTACAAGGAATGGGATGTTTTTTTAGCACAGATATGTAGCAGAATACATTTTGACCTAAATTTATGATGAAATTTGAATTTAAATTTTTTTTTACTGGATGTGTTTAACGCAAAAAGTCAAAAATATTGATTTTTTCTCAAAATTATCGGTCTCTTTTTTGCCCCTGTCCATCTTTACTTCTGAGACACTGTGGGGTTTATTTACTAAAGTTGGTTCACTCATAATCTCATGCCCTTCTGCATAGAAACCAATCAGCTTACAGGTTTTATTGAAAGCTTAATTGAACAAGCTGAGGTTAGAAGCTGATTGGCTACCATGCACAGGTGCGCGAGATTCTGAGTGAACCAGTTTTAGTAAATAAACCCTTCTGCCTCTCTGTGATGCCCTTTTTATTCCCAGTCATATTACTGATCTGTTGCCAATTAACCTAATTAGTCAATTGTTCTTCCAGCTCTTCCTTGTTAGTACCACTAACTGTACCTTTCTAGCGTTTTTGGTGCCCTGTCTCAACTTTTTTGAGACATGTTGCTGCCATCAATTTCAAAATTACGGTACATTTTTTTTTTTATATTATATATTTTCTCAATTTAAACATTTGATATGTTTTCTATTGTAAATAAAGTACAGGTTTATAAGATTTGCATATCATTGCATTGTTTTTTTATGTAGATTTTTGCACAGCATTCCAAATTTTTTGGAATTGAGGTTTTATATCCACAGTCTCTTAACATTTCCGTAGCATTATATACACTGAATATTATATGTCATTTTCTCATAAAGTCAGGAGACAGACTAGAGGCACCCTAATATGTTTTCCACCAGAGCTTTACACCTATCCCCTTAACTGTCCCAAACACTTTTGATTCAACTTACTGAACACCAAAAATGATATTTTTACCCAAAATAATTTTATTGTTGCTGTTGCTTCTGATACAAAAACACAGTTACGAAAACTTGTACAAAATTATCATATGTGCCTAACAACAAACATAACAACAAATACAGCACACTGTTTGAAATGCAGTATAAAAAATGTATCAGACCACATTTGGAAAGAGAAAAAATATCCCCCTCTCCAGAAATAACACTTTTGGCTCAACACAAGACTGGAAAAAAAAAAGATTTTCACAATGACAAGATTTTCTGTAGCACCGTCTAGAAACAGTTTTATTTCACAACATCTCATATTTTGCAAAGCTAGCATCTTTTTCAAGTTTATGATTTTATTTCGCCAACACTTACAGTATTCACACATATTACCAAAAAGTGGCTATTCTTGGGAATTAGAAATTAAAAAAATAAAAAAAACAAAAACAAAACAAAAGTAAAAACGACATGTATCAAATAAAATATATTTACTACAAGAATATGAAATTACAAAAGAGCAACAGTTTACAGTTGTGGTTATACATAAATATTTTTTCTTAAAAAAAAAGGACGTACAGTGCAGTAACCGAGCCATTTGAAGTACTGGATGGGTAAAGCACCATTGTGGGATGGATACAGTATAGTGTCAGGTAGTAGTGTGTGTATTTTATACCGTAATCTAGAATAGCACCATCATTTCTCCAATCTTCTTATTATATTTTATTTAAAAGATAAAGAAGGAACTTTTTGTTAAGAAGCTGCTGCCAGCAAAAGAATATTGACAAGCAATGTCCTGTTCACAATAGTTGGTTTCCCCATTCGGAAATAGCATTTCATTCATGTTTGCAGTGCTGAGCAAGCTGAAGCCAGAGGCGTCTCTCCAGATTTCCCAGTTTCTTGTTTCCCTGCAAACTGGGGAGTTAAAGCAACCCTTTCCTTTTCAAACATTTACAGAAACCACTAAAAATGTAAACTATCCAGTTTATACACAACTCGCTGGTACATAATCAGTGAACAAAATCTGCTCCGGTCTGTTCCCCCAAAACTCAGTTATTCCCCTTTTGGATGCTGCCAATCATGCCTCTCACACTGCATAAAGAAGGTGAAGTCAGGCTGTTTATTTAAAAAAAAAAAATAAAGGCTCATGAAAGGCACTTCAGCCTTTTTTTTTTTTGACAGTCCCATATCACCGTTTTCATGCAGAACAGGACGTATATATCAGTGGGTAGAGGGACTGGTTAAAGATGGAGATGAGGACCTCTCTACCATCAAGTCAACATGTGCATATTAATAGCAGCACTGTTTAGTCTGCTTAACCTGAACATTTAGGGGAACAACATGGTGCATTTAAAAAAAGCTATTTCAGCAGATTATGAGGCTAACACTAAGTTTACAAGCTTGGGGACTGGAAAGCAGACTGTTTTTAAGTCATTGCTTAGGCCATTCCACTTTATTTTGGTGCTATTATAAGGCACAAGTTTCTATTCCAAAGTAAAGTTCTGTCAGTCCATGCTGGCACAAAGGGCTAGGCAAGAAACACTACATTATACTATATTATGTGTACTACCTCTTTGCAGCCTGAGGTAAGAGGCCTACAGTAAATTGATCCAAGGAGGCAGTTTATTGGCTATGCCTCAGACACGGTCGAATATGGTTTGAACAAACTTAGCAATAATACTTAAAGGGATTTTTCCTGAACAAGAAAATAGTGTTTAGAGTGTCATTAAATATCTTAAACCTTCAAAGCACTATTTGTATCCAACTATATTAAACATGGAATATATATTCTGCAGTTTATAAATTAACATAACAATGCTATTACCTATCACTTATTTTTTTATTTTTTCTCAATATAAACAAAGCAAGGCTTCTGCATGAAACATAAGTGATGTGCCTGGTTCATGTGCCTTGCTCATATAGAAGCAGTGCACTCTTGAGTGGTCCCTAGGAGAAAGTTGACTGTTTATTCCTTTGTGGTAGGAGAATTGATTTTAATTGTAAACTACAGTTTGAGGGATCAACAGCATAAAGGCTTTACAACAAGATGAGAATAGAGAGCTTAAACTGTGAATAAAAATTATTTATATTATTAGCTCTCATCTCTGGCTGCCTACGCTTGCTAGTAGCAATAACGCTGCCATAATTACAGTACAAATATTCAATTCATTTAAACAAAAAAAATTAAAAAATACAAAAACATTCATCATATTAATCTGGGAGTTCCAGTGACCACTCTTACAGTTCACTATGTAATATGAACTTCTTTTAGAAGCACCACATACACAGTATTGTAGCACTCAGATATAAAAAGCTTCTGCTGCAATACTGCTGTTTTCTCAAGGCCACTTGTAAGGCACTTTTAAGGCACTAGAGTCCTTTCTGTCATTGGCATCCATGTTAGAGCTTTTGGTGAAAATAAGGAAGAGCATTTGGAGAATTTGCCCCTCCCTCTGCTTGTACATCCATAACTTTGCTCAGGGCATTAGATGCATCATATCCTTTGATTACTGTGCCCTCCTGTCACTCTTACCCCTCCCATTTTTACATAACAAAAATACTATGAAAATAATCCCAAAATACATATGGACATTGGTCACAGCTGAACTCATATTCCACATTTCCCATCAATCTTATGCCTTAGTGCTGAGGTTCTGACACAAAAGCTTGCTAATTAAAGAGAAGACAGAAGAAGACTTTCTCTATAAATGTAAAGTTCAGATCTTGTGAAGGCCACGTGAGGATTGTTCTGATCTTAATAAAGTTGGATCTGAAGTTTCATCTTGAGTGTTTGGCCTATTTCACCATTGAGGTAGTTGAAGTCTTTTTCATCCTCTAATTTCTGCAGTTCCTTCTTGCGGTATAGAGGCATGCTGGTAATCTCCAGGTTATACAAACCTGGAGTTACCTTTTTGCGGCTAAGATGCAAGAAACTTTGACCCTCTTTCTGATGAATGCGAAAGTTGCTATCCTCATTACCCTGAGAGATGATATATCGTACATGGTTCATTAGTGGCTGCACAGCTGGGATTAAATCCATGATATGCTCTTTGATTGTCAGGTGGGAAATGTTGAAGTTCATCCTAACTGGTCCATCGATGTCAAGGCTATCCATGCTGTGATTCTACGGAAAAATCAAAGACAGACATACATTTTGAGTAGATGTAAAAATGAATAGAATACATTAGGAGAAGCACTACAAAAATGTACAACACATCATAAGTTGTTAAAACATTGATTTCTTTATAATAGTATGTCTGCTTATAGTAATATGTGTGCTATCCATTTGGTCTTCTCTAGAGTGAGTTGGCAATGAGAGCTGTAGTCAAACTAGAACTGGGTTTCTGCCTATTATACCATCAGAGTGGTCCACAACGTTTAAATGGGTTTTTTTTTAGAGTACCTTATAACCTTTGTGGCACCTTTGGGGTTTAGAGTATAACTAAATACAAAACTTTTCTTTTAGTTTTGGGTAGCGTGTAGAAGGATTAGAACCCCTGTCAGTGTTTATTGCCCTTTGTGCCCCGCTACAGAAATTCATCCTCTCTCTGTTTGTCCTGTTTACCATTATCATTGAACGTGAAAGTAAAAGAAAATACCAAATTTTGGAATGTCCCTTAAAAAAAAAATATAGGGGAAATCTTTCAATGGGTACACTAGTTCTAGTGACCTTGGTTACCCTAAGGAATTTCCTTAATTTGCAAGGATTTCTTCTCACTTCCTGTTTGGCTATGGGACAGGAAGTATAGGGATATCTCCACAATGGGACACAGATGACAAAAAAAAATCTGAGTGGGGTAATAACCCTCCCTTGCTCTATCCAAAAAAAAAGTTTATAGTTCTACTTTAAAGTATTTAGCCATGCAACAGGTCTTGCTACAATACATTTTCTGTACTTGCATACATCAGAATCATTCAGAACTTTCAAACATAGTTACATAGTCTGGCTGAAAAAAGACTGAAGTCCATCTAGTTCAACCAATAATGCAAACATCCTAAACCACCAACCATAAACCAAACATATTTTCTGGAAGGTAAGCTTTGAGGAGGAGCAAGCCGTACACCAAGCAATACTGCAACATTTTTAACTAGGCAGACTAGATTGATTTATTTAATATAGTCTAGAACTAACTTTTTCTAAAATGATAAGCTGAGCTGTTATTGTGCATTCAAACTGGCCAGCAAGCACTGGGTGAAATCTAGCACTGCAAGTCTTAGCATAGATTAGGGGTCTAAAGTAGGGGTCTTTTTTTTTTTATTTCTCCAAGAAATTATGATCTTATACGTATAACCTTTCAGTCATTTGGATAGTGAAGAACTGTTTGGTTTTCTTGTATTAATTCAGGGTAATGCTGGTAAGCATAACATTATATTATATGCATATTCATAAAGAGTTAAATCGGTAGTAAACTGCAGGAAACAAACTGTCATAATGTGCTAGTATGCATTACATATTAGCACATTATGTAGGACTTACCTTAAAACGAAGCCCTCCAATGGTGCGCTGTCACCGCTGCAGAGGCTTCCATCTTCGCCCAGTACTTCTTCCGGGGGTTTGCGAGCTCCAGCTATCTGACAGGCTGGACAGCGATGACGCCACTTCTGCACATGCGTGCGAGAGTCCCAGGCCACGGCACAGTACTCTGAAGGAACGGCATGGGTAGGCCGTTCCTTCAGAGCACATGTGCTGGCTCTAAAAAAATTAAAGAATATCTCCTAAACAGGGCACATTTAGGAGATATTCATTTTACCTACAGGTAAGCTTTATTATAAGCTTACCTGTAGGTAAAACTAAAAAAAAATGGTTTATTACCACTCTAATAGTGCACTGCTGAGATGCAATTTGAGTGTCCAAGTGTGGGATTATGCCTTCTTATTCTCACTTGTTCATCTCTTACCTCATGTTCCGAGGTGGAATTGGTGCTGCGTCGCTGCCTTCCTCTCTTTGAATACCCATTGACCTTGCACTCATAGCAGTTTTCTGGGGATAAGATGTTTTCCTCATCTTCTTCCACAGGAGCTGGTAGATAAGAACCTTTGCCAAATCCTAAGCCAGACACACAATGCCTGCAAAGCAACATGTACACATCAAGAGAAGCCACTTGACCAAAGGAAGTCTATCAAAAGAGACAGCATTGTTTAAGAAAATACTACCTCTGTGCTTGTTATATTGACTCCCTGGAGCAAACCCCTGTCAGTCACTGATCTTGCACAAGTATACAGGTCAAAAAAATCAGATCTGCATATTGTTGTTGAGTCACAGACTAAAGAAATTTAACTGAGAGGAACAGCATGACATGCATGCAACTAGCATTTTGAAAAGTAGAGGTCAGCAATCTATGCTTTTCTTATACTTTTAGGAAGCAGAGATTCTCCAAGAACAAGAAGCAAGCAGGGTGGTGTTGGGAATTGCAGCAATGAATTGCAGCAATGTGTATATTCATTTTAGGCCAATAATGGGAGTATTTGTGTAGCAAGGAAATGTGTTTTATTGATGTGGCATTTATTGATAAAAAATGAATAGACATTTTAGCCATGACATCCAAAAGTGCAACTTTCACGGAGGTCGTGATGTTTGCTATGTTCAGTGTTAAAATATTCTCATTGTGAAAATTATATGTTTACATTATTCCTTTCCCTTATGCGTATTTGTAATAGTAAAATGGTTGAAATTCGGTTGGCAGATTTGGTGAGGATAAAATCCCAGTCATATAACCAGCCTCTCCTATCATTGGGTATTACTGGTAAAATTCAGTGTGGACTAAATAATGTGGAGTTGAGTTGATAATGGTATCAGCTCTACATTTTAACTAAATCCAGTTGTGTCAAACTGAAGCCTCAGAAGTACAGTATTCTCTGAAGAAAAATCACCCAAAAAATCTTCCTCATTTCTTCTCATGCTTACCCTTGGCCAGCTCGGAAGTATCCTCCAGGACATCCACATTGGTAGCCACCATCTGTGTTGGAACAACCATAGCTACAAGGGTTTGCTCCAGATGAACATTCATCAACATCCTGGCACCCTCCAAAAGACTGGTCAAAATCAAATCCTGAAGGACATATGCATTTGAAGCTTCCCAAAGTGTTGTAGCAGGAGGCAGAACCACAGGTGGATGAGCTGGAACACTCATTCTCATCTAAATGAAAAAAAAAAATTAATGGAAGGTGAATGAAAGCTTAGGGGGAAGACAATGTTGCTGTAACTGTTTGAAGTTTCCACTCTGCTACTTAAGCTGTTCTCTACATTACAGCTAGATCGGCCTTTCCTAAGACTGACTTTGGAGTGGCATATCCACAGAGCGTGACCCTGTCTTTGAACATTTACTTTGTGGCACTAGGAGCTACTTCACTGTTTGCACAACTGGGATCCTTTCAAATTTCTCACCATTGCTGATTTTACTGCAGTAAGGTTTAACTCTGATGGACTGAACACCGATGTCATCCACTAGAGGTAGAGCCTGATGGACCATCCTGCTTCTGTTTTGCAAAGCACCATGTGGAACTCCAGTCTATTCCTACTGCCCACCTAGAGTGACCTGGTCACCTACAGCTGTTCCACCCTAATCAACATCAGCTCCCCAGGTTTGTGAGTACCTGAGACTATGAGGATGCAACATGTCTGCACACAAAGAAGGAGCAGTCCCACTGCTATGGGTGACCCCAGCCCATTTTCACTTAGGGGTTTGTGAGGGTGTCTACTTGAAATCTTCTGAGGACACTGGTGTTTGCATTCTGCAAGCCATTCCTGCATTATTTATAAGGTCTAAACCATCAAAGTTTTCTTCAGGTCATCAGGTCATCATTAGGGACCTCCATGTCTGCTTGGGATTTCGTGGCTACATGTTCTTAACTCTTTTTTTGGCCACTGACCCCAGAGGCTTTAAATATAGCCTGCTGCCATCTCCTACAGAGTACCTGACCCTCCCAAGCCTTTAGATCAGGCCAGGCCATTGATCTGAGATCTGGGTCCTACCAGTCTGTCTCTGAAGAGACTGTTTTTATGGCACTACAGTCTTCTGTTGTCACTTCAGAATTTCATGGGGTAATTTAAGACCTTAGTGGTACAGTGCATACTACCTTGCATTTTGCCGCTATATGAGGTATTCTTTTTTTTCCCAGACTGGAAGTAGGCAGATGGCTCCTGATCCCTACCTGGGAGCGCGCTGGAACTGTTCCCTTTTGGGAGGGAATTTGTTGAATGGTGGTCTATTCCCATTGTGGTTTCTATATGCTTAACTTTAATTCTACTGACAGGCAGCTAGATTCCCTCCTTAAATCCCAGTTTGAACTAGATGATTCTGTCCTCTGTTCTGTGTTGGCAGGAATCTTAAACTGTCAAACCATGTCATATTGGGATAATTCCCTTAAAGAGATCTCCCCTAGACCAGATAGACCCCTATTTCATGGAGTGTGTGGAACAAATGTGTGGAGCCTTATGCTTCAGTTGTGATGGCTTGTTAAAAGCATCTAAGCTTATGTCCCTCATAGGTCTGATGTCCATACAGATACACAGAACACTCTGGTTGTGCTGTTGAGTTGCTGATGCTAGATCCAAAGCATCTGACTCACTTGGCATTCAAAGGATGTTGTCTCTTTGGCACTGCACTTGATACCATGGTCAGTAATGTCACAGGATGTCAGAACAAGCTCCTTCCTCAATGTAGGAGGTCAAGGGAGAGGTGTGCTGAATTCCACCCTTCTCCTTCATCTACTTCTGCAGTAGGTACCCTCAAGCCCTCTGTGCATAACTCCCACTCCCAATACTGCCACCTACCCCTTTAGCTGAAACCCCTCTTTAGTTAACCCCTCTGAGAAGACTTCTACAGGAATGTGTGCCTCCACTTCTATAAAAGGATGACTGAATGTGCATCCTAACTCTGTACAACTAGTTCCTTGTCATTAGGCAGGGAGCTCACCTCTTCTTCTACCTCCCAGGGTGATCTCCCTGTCTCCTGTTTTTACCTGACCTATTTCATTCCAGTCTCTATGGGTCGGTTGGTCCTGGTCATGATCCCTCAGCCTCCAAAGGTGACTAGGGTAGGTTCTTTTCCCCACACCTGTGGGATTCCACTTGCTGAAGTGCCTTCATCAAGAGCTACCATTTGGTTCCTCAGAACAGATTATTTCCACTACATTGGGGGATCTTGCCTTTAGAAAATTCTCTGGTTTTTGAAATCCATTGGACATCACCTAGGTGTGGCAGTTCCTTGCAACAGGGGAAATAGCCTCGTTCCTGCACTGGACATTAGGGACAGAATTAGTGGGTCTCATACTGTATCCTTTATACACAATGCCTTGGAAACTGGTTCTCCTCAACTGGTAGATCTGCCCTGAGGGGAGTGCACACCTAGTCAGGAATTTCTTATGATTTCACATGTCCTGGTGGGTATTGGTTGCTCAGATTTTTGCTGGTTCAGGTTCTGCACTCCCATTCGTATGCAGTCCTTCTCTTCTGGCTGTGAACTTTTCTATCCTAGTACTTGCCATCAGGTTGATTCTCTGTTTTCTCCCTTTAGTCATGCTGGCATGTTCTCCTCTATCTTATAGGGGGTTTCACCTCATGTGGGTTCAGATTCAGGTGGCTTTTGGGCTTTATGCAGTCCTCAGTCATCTTCCTGGGACCTGCTAGAGATTGTTGCTGTGTTGCCCATCCCTCAACTGGACTAATTCTGGATGTCCAACTATATCTACATTCCTGTATTCCTCGAGGGATGAAAAAGAAAAGTTCTGTAAAATATTTTTTTTGCAGTCCATTGAGAGAGGTTTCTGTTTATGTTCCTGGTACTGCTTTACCACAAAACTGAGGCATATTGGGTAGAGGAAATGTTATATGGGGACTGGCTTACAGTTTTTCTGTTTATCAGTGTCCAACATCCTGTAGGCAGCATGACCTGACTATATCTGAAATCCTGTGTCCCTCAATGAACTCCAAGAATAATATTTTGTTTACTGTTGTAGTGTGATATGTACAGAGCAAAATTCTCACCAGCAGTCATTGACAGCTATAGGAAATTAAGTGAAGTGACTTTTGGGTATAAGATACTGCAAAAATATATTATTACAATGAGCAGATCCATGCAATTAAAACACCAAATTCCACTCGGTGAAATAACATGTGTTATTGTTTAGTTAATTGAACTTACAAGAGCAAAGCAAAAGTGGGTGGAATGCCCAATCAGACAAACTGCTTTTCTCTGGAGGTCAGACATGCTTATTTCAGTAGCATTAATATTTTTTTATTATAAAAACAAAATAGAATGGTGCGCTGCCAATTTGCTGAATAACTACTAAATAATGAGCTGCTGCAGACACGTGTTATGTGTGTTTATTGAAGACTTGCAGCACTGGGAATTAGTCACGTTTTAGTTTGCTTTTATATTCATATTCATTGTCTCTTGTTAGCAGCGCGACACTTTTATCTTTTTCAATATTTTTTTATTCTTCCATATTTACTTTATAAAGAAACCCAAACTGGTGATCTAGTGCTGGCATTTTCTCGAACACTGATGTGCGTGTGTTTTATAAAGGTTGGTGATCATTTCAACAGTACCAATGAATGAACATTATTTCTAAATCTTAGCAAACTTTAATTAAAGGAGGTATTTGGAGCTTTAAAAGCCAGGAATACTTTGTAATTCTGGTCCCACTCTTTGTAGAGACAAGCCCTGCTGTGATATACTGTAAATGTGTAAAAAATGACCTTAGACAGTAGTGATGCCTCTTGCATCTACTCACCAACACACTGGTTCCACTGGTAGTGCTGAACATAGCCCTGTGGGCAGCCACAGCGATATCCTCCTAGGACATTCTGGCAGCCATGTTGACAGCGGTGGTTGCCATCACACTCATCCACATCTGAAAAATAAACAATGAACTGCTGCTTAGCTCCATGTAGTATGTGTATCTATCTTCATTGTGCTAGCTATATGAAAAAATAAATACAGAGTGTCAAGGTCAACAGCTATCTTCTCTTACCTTCACAGTTGCTTCCACTGTTATCCAGTGTAAAACCTTTCTGGCACTCACAAGTGTAGCTACCAGGGTTGTTCTGGCACATACCACGGGAGCCGCACATGTTTGGTTGAGCACTGCACTCATTGTTGTCTGTTAAGAATGAAATACTATTATGAATACCGGTAGTTAATAAATATTCTAAGTGATGTGAAATGTACCTGCTATACTATAGAATTATACATTGATAAAAAATATGGAGTTTCTTACCAATGCAGGAGGACTGATGCTGAGTAAAGCCAGGTGGACATTTGCAGTTGAAGCTTCCAATCGTGTTAACACACAGGAACTGGCAGTTGTGCTGCTTGGTGGAACATTCATCCAAATCTGTGGAAGCAGAAGATGCTTTGAGCTACAAGTTTATACTGTATTCATGCTGTTCAACCCCACTATAAAGTAAATAAATTCTGCAGATTTCAGTTGTTTTAAAGCTATATTTAAAGGTTTTCATATAAAGACAATACAGAAAAAACAAAAACATACAAAGCAAAAATTACTTCTAATGTCAATAGATGTCAGTTTTTAGCAGTAAACTGGGATAATAAAAGCTGTTGTTTCCCTGCCTGTTATTTGGTTATGGCATATCTTTGTATAGTTAACAGTGAACAAAATAATTTCTGTTCTACTGTACCTTTGCAGGTCTTGCCATCTTCTTGCAAGATGTAGCCTCTTGGACAAGAGCATTGGTAGCTGCCCTCTGTATTTTTGCATATAAAGTTGCAAGGTTTAGGAGACTGAGAGCATTCATCCAGATCTGAAAAAAAAAACAAACAATTGAGAAATATTCATAATGCTATACCTCAAATATAGCAATATGGTGTATTTTTCAATATGATATTATGAATCTAATACTCAAATGGTTTTGATTCTAGTCATGGTAACATAACTTACCAACACAAGTTGTTCCAGTAATATCTGTAGTGTAGCCCAATTTGCAGTGA